TGTAGTTCCCACCCCCTTCCTCGTCTGGCTACGCTATAGGTGATGTATCTGTAGTTCCCACCCCCTTCCTCGTCTGGCTACGCTATAGGTGATGTATCTGTAGTTCCCACCCCCTTCCTCGTCTGGCTACGCTATAGGTGATGTATCTGTAGTTCCCACCCCCTTCCTCGTCTGGCTACGCTATAGGTGATGTATCTGTAGTTCCCACCCCCTTCCTCGTCTGGCTACGCTATAGGTGATGTATCTGTAGTTCCCACCCCCTTCCTCGTCTGGCTACGCTATAGGTGATGTATCTGTAGTTCCCACCCCCTTCCTCGTCTGGCTACGCTATAGGTGATGTATCTGTAGTTCCCACCCCCTTCCTCGTCTGGCTACGCTATAGGTGATGTATCTGTAGTTCCCACCCCCTTCCTCGTCTGGCTACGCTATAGGTGATGTATCTGTAGTTCCCACCCCCTTCCTCGTCTGGCTACGCTATAGGTGATGTATCTGTAGTTCCCACCCCCTTCCTCGTCTGGCTACGCTATAGGTGATGTATCTGTAGTTCCCACCCCCTTCCTCGTCTGGCTACGCTATAGGTGATGTATCTGTAGTTCCCACCCCCTTCCTCGTCTGGCTACGCTATAGGTGATGTATCTGTAGTTCCCACCCCCTTCCTCGTCTGGCTACGCTATAGGTGATGTATCTGTAGTTCCCACCCCCTTCCTCGTCTGGCTACGCTATAGGTGATGTATCTGTAGTTCCCACCCCCTTCCTCGTCTGGCTACGCTATAGGTGATGTATCTGTAGTTCCCACCCCCTTCCTCGTCTGGCTACGCTATAGGTGATGTATCTGTAGTTCCCACCCCCTTCCTCGTCTGGCTACGCTATAGGTGATGTATCTGTAGTTCCCACCCCCTTCCTCGTCTGGCTACGCTATAGGTGATGTATCTGTAGTTCCCACCCCCTTCCTCGTCTGGCTACGCTATAGGTGATGTATCTGTAGTTCCCACCCCCTTCCTCGTCTGGCTACGCTATAGGTGATGTATCTGTAGTTCCCACCCCCTTCCTCGTCTGGCTACGCTATAGGTGATGTATCTGTAGTTCCCACCCCCTTCCTCGTCTGGCTTCGCTATAGGTGATGTATCTGTAGTTCCCACCCCCTTCCTCGTCTGGCTTCGCTATAGGTGATGTATCTGTAGTTCCCACCCCCTTCCTCGTCTGGCTACGCTATAGGTGATGTATCTGTAGTTCCCACCCCCTTCCTCGTCTGGCTACGCTATAGGTGATGTATCTGTAGTTCCCACCCCCTTCCTCGTCTGGCTTCGCTATAGGTGATGTATCTGTAGTTCCCACCCCCTTCCTCGTCTGGCTACGCTATAGGTGATGTATCTGTAGTTCCCACCCCCTTCCTCGTCTGGCTACGCTATAGGTGATGTATCTGTAGTTCCCACCCCCTTCCTCGTCTGGCTACGCTATAGGTGATGTATCTGTAGTTCCCACCCCCTTCCTCGTCTGGCTACGCTATAGGTGATGTATCTGTAGTTCCCACCCCCTTCCTCGTCTGGCTACGCTATAGGTGATGTATCTGTAGTTCCCACCCCCTTCCTCGTCTGGCTACGCTATAGGTGATGTATCTGTAGTTCCCACCCCCTTCCTCGTCTGGCTACGCTATAGGTGATGTATCTGTAGTTCCCACCCCCTTCCTCGTCTGGCTACGCTATAGGTGATGTATCTGTAGTTCCCACCCCCTTCCTCGTCTGGCTACGCTATAGGTGATGTATCTGTAGTTCCCACCCCCTTCCTCGTCTGGCTACGCTATAGGTGATGTATCTGTAGTTCCCACCCCCTTCCTCGTCTGGCTACGCTATAGGTGATGTATCTGTAGTTCCCACCCCCTTCCTCGTCTGGCTACGCTATAGGTGATGTATCTGTAGTTCCCACCCCCTTCCTCGTCTGGCTACGCTATAGGTGATGTATCTGTAGTTCCCACCCCCTTCCTCGTCTGGCTACGCTATAGGTGATGTATCTGTAGTTCCCACCCCCTTCCTCGTCTGGCTACGCTATAGGTGATGTATCTGTAGTTCCCACCCCCTTCCTCGTCTGGCTACGCTATAGGTGATGTATCTGTAGTTCCCACCCCCTTCCTCGTCTGGCTACGCTATAGGTGATGTATCTGTAGTTCCCACCCCCTTCCTCGTCTGGCTACGCTATAGGTGATGTATCTGTAGTTCCCACCCCCTTCCTCGTCTGGCTACGCTATAGGTGATGTATCTGTAGTTCCCACCCCCATGCTCTCCTGTTGTGTTGTAACTCATCTGGGAACATCTCCGCCCTCTCCATTCCACCTATTTTTTATTATTGCCGGTTAGGCGGCTTGTTTATTGTGCACCCCATACTCATTCTGCAAAAAAGATTACAGAGGACACTAATGGTCTTTATCAGACCTAAACGGAGATTATTACATTAACAATTTCATCTATAATTCACACCTTATAATTATAATGTCAGCTAGATACAGAGAATATTCCATTTCCATAGCTATGTATTTACAGTTAATCATTATATATCAGTGGTAGATCTTGTCGCTAATACATAATTGTTTGAGCTATGGAGATATTGCAGGGTCATAAGGGAGCTGCTGTTTGTTATTATTAGAAATGCCAATACCAATACTACTAAGACTAAGTAGTGATCCTACAACATTTTGGAACGAATCTCGAAGCAAACCTCAGTATCTTTACAAGTTTCCTTATGGTATCTGCAACGGGACTGCACACTGTATAATTAGTCTGACGTAGGTGGTCTTCAAGTGAGCTGAATTATTTACAATTCAGAAGCTGAACTAAAATGAGTTGAATTGAAGTTCCTGAAGGGTGTGAGAAAATCACTAGAGCAGGATGGAGATCACGCCAACGTCTGGGCGCGCGTCTGGGATGACCCGTGATACTGGTTCGATTCCTCCGTCCTGCTCTAGTGATTTTCTCATTGATATATCGTGTGAACACATCCACAAGAGCCGTGACGAGGATGCATCAGGTCATTGGATGATTTCTGTGTGTAGTGTGTGATATATCGCGTTACTGTGATGTCCGTGTGTGTTGCTGAAGGCTTTTTCTGGCGTTCATCAGTTTACAGTTGGCTGCTGCCGTTGTTTGGGTCTGTATGGTGGCAGGTTGTCTGGTCTGTATGGTGGCAGGTTGTCTGGTCTCTATGGTGGCAGGTTGTCTGGTCTAGAAGGTTGTGTTGCATCTTATACTGGTATGTCTTGGTACATCCTCAACTGTGGTCATTATACTCTCTGCTGTTAGGTCATTACACCACACTACAAGGTGACCAGCACACTCCATAACTGGTGGCTCAGTGGCAGCACGCTCGCCCCGCACCTCGCCAGTGACCGTGGGTTCGTGTCCTAGCCAGGGACGATTGATTAGGCGCCAATCCCTAACTGCTCCGCACTGTTCCCCACCAGTAATTGGATACCTGGATATTAACCGATTGGCGGATTGTGTTCCAGGGGAAACTTTCACGGGTAAGTTTTACCATGAGCTATGAGAGGGACAAAGCTCTCAACCTGCTAACAGGAGTCAGCCGTCGTCCGCTCCTGTACCCACCTGCTAACAGGAGTCAGCCGTCGTCCGCTCCTGTACCCACCTGCTAACAGGAGTCAGCCGTCGTCCGCTCCTGTACCCACCTGCTAACAGGAGTCAGCCGTCGTCTGCTCCTGTACCCACCTGCTAACAGGAGTCAGCCGTCGTCTGCTCTTGTACCCACCTGCTAACAGGAGTCAGCCGTCGTCTGCTCCTGTTCCCACCTGTGTAAAAGCCAAAACTCTTCAGTGATTGCTACATAACATGGTAACGGTCTTGCCATTACACCAGCCTACCACCCGCCCTGGAATTACACGCCCAGTATCACTCCTGATTGCCCGCCTCTGCTGAGTTATATGGACTGGTGATTTGCCAGTCTCACTGCTAGTGCCCGAAACGTCCAGTCCCTTTTAGAGTCGAGGTTCACCGCTTACAATCGTCCTCTTAATTTCCTCTCTACAAACAAAGTGCCGTTGGAAGCACATGTTGAAATGAATCATGATATGCCTTTGCATAGAGCAATGAGAGTAAATTACATCAGCGGATGATTGGCCCTATAATTATGGGTCGTTGTGAGAGCCTCGTTCCTATGCCTTCTCCCTCCTCACTCACACCTGCCTCACTCACACCTGCCTCACTCAAACCTGCCTCACTCACACCTGCCTAACTCACACCTGCCTCACTCAAACCTGCCTCTCTCACACCAAAATCCTTAATAACTTCCCTGAACATCGTCCTGAATTTTGCATAGGGATGTTCTTACATAGTTACTAAGAACCTGTGTGACAGAACAAGAATAGCGACGGCCTCGCTTCTTGCAGTGTGTGTGTGTGTGTGTGTGTGTGTGTGTGTGTGTGTGTGTGTGTGTGTGTGTGTGTGTGTGTGTGTTCCACGGGGGGGGGGGGACTGTTCCATCACATCCCTCACCTGTTCCAGCTCTTTGTCCCGTCCTCATATCCCATGTCCCCGTCCTCATATCCCATGTCCTCGTCCTCATATCCCATGTCCCCGTCCTCATATCCCATGTCCCGTCCTCATATCCCATGTCCCCGTCCTCATATCCCATGTCCCCGTCCTCATATCCCATGTCCCCGTCCTCATATCCCATGTCCCCGTCCTCATATCCCTGCCATGTGCTATATAGACATACTGGCTTGGCTCTTTCTCCTGCTAATGGCCTATTTTTGCTAAACCTATTCCCCAGGTGCACGTAACGCATGGATGGTCAGTTGAAAGTGCGTGTGTGCAGAAATAATTATTTGCACCAACTAATTTTCAGCAGTTTTGAACTTTTTGCCGCATTGGCTGTCTTCAGATTAGTTTAAAAGAGTGTTTCAGTTTTGTCGTTGGGATTACAGAGCAACATGTTGTATACTGCATGACCGAGTTGCGTGATGGGCTGTATGTTGATGAGGACGGCTGCATGATGAGCTATATGTTGATGAGGACGGCTGTATGATGGGCTGTATGTTGATGAGGACGGCTGTATGATGGGCTGTATGTTGATGAGGACGGCTGCATGATGGGCTGTATGTTGATGAGGACGGCTGTATGATGGGCTGTATATTGATGAGGACGGCTGCATGATGGGCTGTATGTTGATGAGGATGGCTCCATGATGGGCTGTATGTTGATGAGGACGGCTGTATGATGGGCTGTATGTTGATGAGGACGGCTGTATGATGGGCTGTATGTTGATGAGGACGGCTGCATGATGAGCTGTATGTTGATGAGGACGGCTGCATGATGGGCTGTATGTTGATGAGGACGGCTGTATGATGGGCTGTATGTTGATGAGGACGGCTGTATGATGGGCTGTATGTTGATGAGGACGGCTGCATGATGAGCTGTATGTTGATGAGGACGGGCTGCATGATGAGCTGTATGTTGATGAGGACGGCTGTATGATGGGCTGTATGTTGATGAGGACGGCTGCATGATGAGCTGTATGTTAATGAGGACGGCTGCATGATGGGCTGTATATTGATGAGGACGGCTGTATGTTGATGAGGACGGCTGTATGTTGATGAGGACGGCTGCATGATGAGCTGTATGTTGATGAGGACGGCTGCATGATGGGCTGTATATTGATGAGGACGGCTGCATGATGGGCTGTATGTTGATGAGGACGGCTGCATGATGGGCTGTATATTGATGAGGACGGCTACATGATGGGCTGTATATTGATGAGGACGGCTACGTGATGGGCTGTATATTGATGAGGACGGCTGCATGATGGGCTGTATATTGATGAGGACGGCTGCATGATGAGCTGTATATTGATGAGGACGGCTGCATGATGAGCTGTATATTGATGAGGACGGCTGCATGATGGGCTGTATATTGATGAGGACGGGCTGTATATTGATGAGGACGGCTGCATGATGGGCTGTATATTGATGAGGACGGGCTGTATATTGATGAGGACGGCTGCATGATGGGCTGTATATTGATGAGGACGGCTACATGATGGGCTGTATATTGATGAGGACGGCTGCATGATGGGCTGTATATTGATGAGGACGGGCTGCATGATGGGCTGTATATTGATGAGGACGGCTGCATGATGGGCTGTATATTGATGAGGACGGGCTGCATGATGGGCTGTATATTGATGAGGACGGCTGCATGATGGGCTGTATATTGATGATAATATTGTGTTCAGTCATTATAAATATTGGGTATTTTGGCGATAAGCCTCTAATTAGGCATCTTTCATGTTTTGGGTAAATACTTTTTCACATTATTGTGGCAATAAATATTCTTGATCATTTCCATAAGTTTAGAACTTGTAGTTGTATAGTAACTGTTCTGAAGTGTGAACCTTCAACTAAGTTCCTCGTCCCAAAACAGCCTACCAGTCATACAAGACACAAAGGGCATCAACCAATCATAGAATTATCAAGACACAGTTGCCATTAACCAAAAGAAAACGCTTTTTTTCTGTTAAGCTGTGACAGGTTTGTGGCCTTGTAACTGCACCTCGGCTCTCTGTGTCCCGCCAGGTTGGTATCCGTCTCAACGCAAATGCTTTTTCATCGACAATCCTTAGCATTTCATAATGTTGTTCCCGTCAATACTTGACTGGAGTGTTTGACCTGCCCAAGACGCCTTGCTTGACTCTACTGTCCAGCGCGATTGTATTATCTTAATGTTGTTTGATAATATATTTGTTTCAGGAATTGAGTGGTTGGTTACCGTTGTGGAGGCGCGTGTAGACTCTGGTTAAGACACTAAGTTGGTCGTGTGTATGTGTGGTGTCGCGCGCCCGCCCGCGCTCCTCTCATGCATTGTATTCTAATTGTCTGACCCTTGAACTCTGCCTGTGAGCCAGCCTACCCACCTGCCCAGCAGCATAGTGCTGGTCCAGCAGCATAGTGCTGGTCCAGCAGCATAGTGCTGGCCCAGCAGCATAGTGCTGGTCCAGCAGCATAGTGCTGGTCCAGCAGCATAGTGCTGGCCCAGCAGCATAGTGCTGGCCCAGCAGCATAGTGCTGGTCCAGCAGCATAATGCTGGTCCAGCAGCATAGTGCTGGCCCAGCAGCATAGTGCTGGCCCAGCAGCATAGTGCTGGTCCAGCAGCATAGTGCTGGTCCAGTAGGATAGTGCGGGCCCAGCAGGATAGTGTTGGTCCAGCAGCATAGTGCTGGTCCTAACACCACTCGACGTAAGGCAGGTCCTAACACCACTCGACGTAAGGCAGGTCCTAACACCACTCGACGTAAGGCAGGTCCTAACACCACTCGACGTAAGGCAGGTCCTAACACCACTCGACGTAAGGCAGGTCCTAACACCACTCGACGTAAGGCAGGTCCTAACACCACTCGACGTAAGGCAGGTCCTAACACCACTCGACATAAGGCAGGTCCTAACACCACTCGACGTATGGCAGGTCCTAACACCACTCGACGTAAGGCAGGTCCTAACACCACTCGACGTAAGGCAGGTCCTAACACCACTCGACGTAAGGCAGGTCCTAACACCACTCGACGTAAGGCAGCACCTAACACCACTCGACGTAAGGCAGCACCCAACACAGGCGGTGGTAATCTCAACAAGGGTGCATGTCACTTGCTAAATACCACATATAAATATTGTTCATGGAATCTGAAAAAAAATATATTTTTAAAGCTACAGATATTTACTCCTATGTGAACAAATATATTTATCATTGATGTAAACAAGCAAAGCAAAACTAATTAAAAAAGAATGATAATTAAGTACATTTGTAAACAAAAGGATGAATGATGGAACATATATGAAGAGCATATATGACCAGAGGGAGTAGTCGAGCCGCGGGGTTCAGGTCACTCACAAGTACTCTCACCAGCTCACTCAAACTTGAAGGAAAAGTTCCTTGTGTACTCAAGTTCGTTGCCATTACTTCTTGACTTGTGCATTAATGTTGAAGGTAATTCTCATGACAACATTCGTCTAAATGATCAAGGTTGCCGCTCTTTATCGTAGTGTTGTAAGGTGAGGTGAGGGAGCAGTGCACTAACATGGCAAGAATCTGTCTTCATTGTCGGTGAATGTGTCGGCCGCGGGAGTCAATGTCGTGGAAATCCACACGTTTCTGCGTCTCTCCCTTCCTTGCGTGCCTTAGCAGCTTGGGCGTCAAGCGCACCACCTCTGCATGTTTGAACTTCTGCACAGTAATGCCATTCTTTAAACATTTCCCAGAAAATGGAAATGTCTTCGGTATTAATTATTCAGGCAGTATATGTTTTGACGAGTGTTCGTGCTGAGTCATTATTATCATAAGCCGCTGTGGTGGTCCCTGGCGGTGGTCCCTGGTGGTGGTCCCTGGTGGTGGTCCCTGGCGGTGGTCCCTGGCGGTGGTCCCTGGTGGTGGTCCCTGGCGGTGGTCCCTGGTGGTGGTCCCTGGTGGTGGTCCCTGGCGGTGGTCCCTGGCGGTGGTCCCTGGTGGTGGTCCCTGGTGGTGGTCCCTGGTGGTGGTCCCTGGTGGTGGTCCCTGGCGGTGTGGCGGCTGACAATGGTCTCTGGCGGTGTGGCGGCTGACAATGGTCTCTGGTGGTGGTCCCTGGCGGTGGTCCCTGGTGGTGGTCTCTGGTGGTGGTCCCTGGCGGTGGTCCCTGGTGGTGGTCCCTGGTGGTGGTCCCTGGCGGTGGTCCCTGGTGGTGGTCCCTGGTGGTGGTCCCTGGCGGTGGTCCCTGGTGGTGTGGCGGTTGACAATGGTCTCTGGTGGTGTCTTTCTACATTTTTCTTCGAGGTCATAAGTTTTCATATTATTCATCACGTGTTAATTTCTTATTGATTTACACACATATATGAATATATATATATATATATATATATATATATATATATATATATATATATATATATATATATATATATATATATTTATATATTTATATATTTATTTATTTCGAAGCGTTGTGTAAATTATAATAAGTATAATATATTATACAGTTAATTTTTATTCTTTTAGTCAACTTGAACAAATAGACCATTTGAAGAAACTCTCTTCTAATGAAACCAAGATGCAAGAGTACCAGGCACAGAGATAGAAGCCCTAAACAATCCAGGTTGGCGGTCCAGAGAGGAAATGTTTGGTGTATCTTGGGCACACATACACCTCACCTCTACACGGCTGGATGAGCTCTTTGAACAGTGATTGTTATGTTTTCTGTGAACTCTAACACAATGTACTAATATATATTACTACATTGTATTAATATATATATATTAGTGCTAATATATTGAGGTGATACTCCCTTTCATATTATCACCTCTGGCTGGAAGAAGGGACCATTGGCCTCGGAGAAAAGCACACATAACGCATTAGAGGGAATTTTTAGGTTCCCTCTAATACAGTTTTTATGTTCTATTCTCCTGCCACCCCCTTCCTCTGTGTTTTTTTTGTGCTTTATTAAATATTAAAAGGTTATAAGATGTACATTGGTTAAGACAATGAGTGTTTAAAGGTTATGGATCTCTTGGAGCTCCTCCGCTTCCGGACAGGAACCGAGGACGCAGCAGGTGTGTGTATATATGTATATTGTGTGTATGTGTGTCATCAAATAAGAGTAGAGTTGTTGTTTTCACATTAGTGTAAGCTGTGTGGGGGGAGCAGGAGCCGCCGGAGCAGGGACATGCTTGAGCGTATTATGGCCTGTCAATAAACAATAGCCAGAACGCGTCATTGTGTGTGTTTATGGACAACACTCGAGGTCGACGCCGCGAGAGCTGAATAAATATGACTTACAACTCGGCCGGACAAAAAACTACGGTGCGTGTTGCAGAGATTTGCTCAGTACTTGAGGTGTGGGTCTTGCTGCCCGGCGGCCCACTCGCCCACACTGCTCCTACCTCCTCTACCTCCATTTAAACCTGTGAATTAAGAGTCCTGTAGCAGAGACGTTTGTGTCCTCCGCTTATAACTAAGGGACCTGGATTCATTCACCCGGGCAGAATAGAAACGGTTTGGCACATTTCCATTCACCGTATGCGTCTGTTCACCTAGCAGTCAAATAAGTACTCGAGTTAGGTAATTGTTGTGGGTTGCATTCTGTGGAGGGTCTATAATTGGCTGAGAGGAACCTCAGTAAGGTTCCTGTCCCCGATGATGGGAACTACTCAGCTCGTCCTCTCCAGTTGTCACCTCACAAAAATGATGTACTAAATTGCCAATATCTAACCCAACCGACGACGCGTGGTTAGGTTAGCTTCAATATAGCGTGCTACGATGATGTATAGTACATCTCATTTTGGCCGATGGGGATTTATACGTCAGTATACGGATATTATATATTGTAGGTTGTGCCGAGGGGAGTCAGCCCTGATGATTACTGCCTGACGTGTGAGGCGGTCCGTTGATCACTGTAGTGTACTGTGTCTTCCTCTCTCTCTCAAGCTGCACACTTCTCCTTCCTTAGTCAACTGCTCAACTTCCAGCTATGACAAATTTATTTGATTTTATAATCTAGTGAATGGAAAGTTGCGCATAATTAACGGCGTCATCTATCACCCAAGGACCTGGTAGACCATTATGTGGCTGCCCGGTGTTATGTGTCCGTGTATGGAGCAGATACTAACCCATTGTTCGTGTATGTAAGAGTGAGTATGTGCGTAACTGAACC